AAATGCTCTCTGCTGTGTAGTTTAACTGACTGTTTTCTCCTACGCTCACCTGCAATGCCAAATACTAATGACACGGCTAAAACCAGACCCAAACTGTCTTTTCCCGATACTCGCTATGTAGTCCATTCCTGACTTCCTCATCCATTTCTTTTTTTTCCCACCACATAATAATTGAAATTGAATGTTTCAAAATAGTTTAGAAGGGAACACATATTGCTCTCAATAAAGGTCTTTTTCTTAAATTCAGTACTCTGTGTGGTTTAGCTCAAAACACTTCATATTTAAAACATGTGTACTGAAAAATACATTATAATATTTTATAAATGGTATTGACATTTAAAACCTTGAAAGTGTTTTTTTTCTCCAAGCACAGGAAAATAAAAACTCACTTCTGAGATAATGGCTACACAACAGACTAGATAAATTAAAAACAATTTTTTAAGAATCTATAAATTAATAAGCAGTTGAGGCTTTAAATGGGAAAACTGGTACTTAATTCTACTCACCATTATATTTAATTTGAATTTCAGAAAAATATAGAGCTCTACCAAAGTGCCATCTTTATACATGCTTTATTAAGTCTACCCACAAGTGCTAAAAGTCCACCGAAATGTATGTGATACAGAATATAAGTCAAGATCCTCCTCTCCCTGTTGGCTTAAAGAGTCAAAAAGAAATGTATTATTTACATTGAGATTATCTACTAGTGTGTAGAAAGTTTAAATTAGCTGCAAGAAATTTTATCTAGACTTGCACCTGCCAACTGCTACAAGCTGGTGTTTACTGGGCAGATTAATTATGAATATTTCTCTGTTCCTTTAAATATGATCAGGCAGATGCAGAAGTAAGTTGATGCTTCTGGTGAGTGCATTTCTTCCAAATGCCTCAGTTTAAAATGACTTTAAGGAATTCACAGCTGTCATGATGACATGATTCTCTGTGAGGAAGTCCTCAACTCTTTTCAAACAGTTTTTCTTTAGTTACTTTTGTCATTAGTTCTTTGGTTTTCTGCATTTCTCTTTTTAAGAAACGTGATCCACAGGAGATTCCAGTGAGATTTTCAGGCTCTCTCCTGCCCTCTGAAGCCTGCATATGACTTACATTTTGCATTATCTCCACAATTTCTTCTGACAATTTCTCAACTTTAGACAGCAAGATCACCAATTCATCACTGACTTTTGTTGTAGATTCTTTGCTTTCAATTAAACTGGGGTAATTCAATTTTTTTCTCTTTTCATTTGATAGTCCATTTTGGTACTCTTGTTCTTTAGAGCTTGTGGGAAAAGCAAACAGATTTTTGAAGGATCAAATGAATTTTCTTCTAACAGACCATCCAATTTCAGTGATCCTTTAACAGGCATTTCGAGATTCGGAGAAGCACCACTGTTGCTGAATAAAACGAAACACACCATAATAACCTACTGTACCTCCCAGATCTTGGAACATATCATAAAACCACAATGAATATATGTGCACACGCAAATCAATGGAATAGGACACAAGGCCGAGAAACAGATTCAAACACACACAGGAACTCAGAATATAATAAAAGTGGTGTTTCCAATCATGAAAGGGTGGATTATTTACTAACAGATACTTGGACAAAACTGTAAAGTTAGATTTGTACTTCATGCCTTACACTAAGATGAATAATTTCCAAATGGATGAAAGCTTTGCATGGAAATACTGAACCCATAAAAGTATTAGGATGATGGAAGCAATCATGCATTGTCAATGCTTATGAGCGTCATTGAAATGTCAGGAAGATGTGAGGATATTCCAACAATCTTCCAAGTCCTTTTAAAAATACTACCCCAAATCCAGGAGCTTTTAAGGAATAAATTCAACTAATGAAAATTAAATTTTCAGCATGGCAAAAATACAAACCCACTAAATGTCAAAAGACAAAAACAGGCTGCTAAAAATGCTTCTTTTATTACAAAGGGACAATGTTCCCAATATACAGGCTGTGAACCGAGAAAGCAACATCAGCTTAATAGGCAAAGGATATGGATATTTCACAAAAAAGGAAATTCAGAGTTTTTGTTTTGTTTTGTTTTTGAGACGGGGTCTCGCTTTGTCACCAGGCTGGAGTGCATTAATGCAATCTCGGCTCAGTGCAACCTCTGCCTCCCAGGTTCAAGTGATTCTCCCACCTTAGACTCCTGAGTAGCTGGGAATACAGGCGCCCACCATTATGCCCAGCTAATTTTTGTAGTTTTATGGAGATGGGGTGTCACCGTGTTGGCTGGGCTGGCAAAAAGATCTCGAGCCTATAAAAGGAGGCTCAAACTCTCTCCTAAGAATAATGTAAATTTAAACACACTGATGTGCCAATTTCCATTTAACATATTGGCAAAGATCACAACGTTAACTGTGAACACACTTTGGCAAAGGGTTGGGGAATCAGCCCTACTCCTGGTGGGAGCAAAAATGGATACAACATCCAAGCAAGAACCCAGCGTTTCTGTTGCTTGGAATTTATTCTTCCAATACTCACTTGTGTGAAAAGTTACATGTACGTACACACATGTGTAAACTATCCTAACATTCAGCCAGCCCTGTCCTCAGGCACACTTTGAAAGACTATTGAGGATCTGTGGATGTCCATATGCTCTTCGTATTTGTCTATTTTGTGACAGCAAAAGATAGAGTATCAACCTAAATGTTCATCCTCAGGGACTAGTTTAAAACCTTATGATATAATGAGATTCTAGCTGTCAAAGAGAATGAGGAAGCTCTGTATAAACAAATGGAATGATCTTCAAATTCTGTCAACTCCACCGTGAAAAGTTATTTAGAATCCAATCACTTCTCCAACGCCTTAGTCAAAGGCATCATTTCCTCTAGCTGAATCTGCTTGCTAGCTACCCTCACTCCCTTCTGTCTATTCATCAGGAGGAATCACATGGGTACTATGAAAACATAAGATATGTGACATCAATTTTCAGCTTAAACCCCTCCAGTGGCTTCCCACCTCACCAAATAGAAATCACAGGCCCTACCTCCCTGTGCCCCCACCCCCAGCCCTTCTCTCTCCCCTGTTGTCACTCTGACCTTATTCCCTTTTCAACCTCAGTGGCCTCCTTGCTTTCCTTGAACACAGGAAGAACGCTCCTGCTTCAGAATCTTTGCACTTGCTGTGCCTGGTCCCCAGACTCCACGTAGTTCTCTCTCCACTCTTGAGGGTCTTGAGCGTCTTTATTCAACATTGCCTACTGGGCAAGTGCTTCCTTGACCACCATACTTAAAATTTCACAAACACCCTCACGCAAATGTAGTAACATGGTAGACATGGGTGTTCTCGGTGTCATTCTTTCACCTGCTGTGAATGTTAGAAAATTAAAATATTGAAAACAGGCTGGGTGCAGTGGTACATGCCTATGATTCCAGCACTTTGGGAGGCCGAGGAAAGAGGATCACAAGGTCTGGAGTTTGAGACCAGCCTGGCCAACATGATGAAACCTCCTTGCTACTAAAAATACAAAAATTAGCTGGGCGTGGTGGTGTGCACCTGGCTACTCAGCTACTCAAGAGGCTGAACTCAGCTACTCAAGAATTGCTTGAACCCAGGAGTCGGAGGTTGCAGTGAGCAGAGATTGTGCCATTACACTCCAGTCTGGGGCAACACTCCTCTCTTGAAAAAAAAATTAAATTAAAAAATTTAATATATTGAAAATACACCCACACACCTATCCTTTTCCTTGCTTTATTTAACCGCTGTGCTCACCAGCAAATATAAATTTTACTTGTCTACTCCCCACCCCCAAAATATCTGGAATACAGATCCCACAAGGGCAGGGCAGAGTTCTGCATTTTGTTCACTGCTGTATCTCCAGCTTGTAAAGCACCACCTATCACTACCAACATGACATTCCTGGTTTTACTATAATCATATAGGATGTAACCATGGGGGACACTGGCTACAGGATACCTTGTCACCACTACCTCTCAGTACCACCTCTGCAACCACCTGTGTACCTTAGTTATTTCTAAGTATCTATACTGAGATGATGTCTTCTGTATACATACATATATACTTTTTTTTCTTTTGGGACAAAGTGCCACTCTGTCACCCAGGCTGGAGTGCAGGAGTGTGAACTTGGCTCACTGCAATGACTGCCTCCCTCCTGTCTCAGCCTCCCAAGTCACTGGGACTACAGGCGAGTGCCACCAAGCCAATTTTTGAATTTTTTTTTTTAAGTAGAGATGGGGTTTCACCATTTTGGTCAGGCTGGTCTTGAACTCCTGACCTCAGGTGGTCCACCCACCTTGGCCTCCCAAAGTGCTGAGATTACAGGTGTGAGCCACCACATCTGGCTGGTGTCTACTACATAATTGGTACTTAATAAATATCTGCTGAATAAGTCCCCATGACAGTGAAATTGATTATATTAAGTGATAATATACTACTATTTGCATTAAAAGAATCATATATATTTGTATATGCATGCAATATCTCCAGAAAAATATGTAAAAACTGATCATATTGGCCACTCTAGGCAGAAAATCTTGGTGGCTGAAGAGGGGTGAGACTAAATTTTGAACCATGTGGATGTGTTATCTATTCAGAATACAATTTAAATGAGAAAACATTCTGTTCTAGCCTCTTCCCCAGAATCAATGCCAATTTTACCTACCCACCATTCCCAGAAATCAGGTTCTTTCCCTTTTTGAGAAACCACTATTGCAGTTCTACACTTTGGCACCCTTGTCCTTGCAGAGATCCTTAAACCTTGCAGGGCCTTCTCCACCTGAAGAAGCTCCTCTTAACTCAGAGGAGGGAAGAAAAAAGCTCTAAGATGAGGGGTGCTGATGCTGGGATGCTGGTCTGAGAGCAACATGAACAGCCTGGCGATGACTGTAAGACAGGGGTCATTTGGCCCTGCTGACATGGTTCCCCCAGTGCCAGGACAGTTCCCAGTACAAGCCTGTGCCTACTGCATTGGCACAAGTGGATAGAGAAAAGATCTACCAGTGGAACAAGGAGTTGTCCAGTCCTGAGATGAGGGAAAATGATTTGCTGGAGCTAAGTAAGAAGTGAGAATCTGTTCCTGACCTTCACCCACATTGACAGCACACCAAATTAACAGAGTTTGCAATGCTCTGGCATTACTGCAATGTGTAGCATCACATCCAGAAGCCAGGTCAGCGTTTCTTGCAGCACACATCCACTTTTTTGTACCCCTTTTTTGCACACACGTCCCTTTGAGTATCTTTGACTCACCAGCCTTGGAGTTATTGGGACCCTGGTGAAAACAGATGAACAAGGAGTAATCAACTTTTTACTGACAACAGAAATTATCCCTTTATGTTTGCGAATTATGGAATCTGGAAGTGAACTTTCTAAAACAGTTGCCACATTCATCCTCCAGAAGATCTTCTTAGATGACACTGGTTTGGCTTATATATGTCAGACGTATGAGCGTTTCTCCCTTGTTGCCATGATCTTGGGTAAGATGGTCCTGCAGTTATCCAAAGAGCCTTCTGCCCATCTGCTGAAGCATGTAGTGAGATGTTACATTCAACTCTCAGATAACCCAGGGCACCTGAAGCACTCAGGCAGTGCCTCTCTGACCAGCTGAAGGACACAACCTTTGCTAAAAGATGACACCGCCATGAAATACTGGCTTGCACAACTGGTGAAGAACCTGTGAGAGGGCCAGGTCACTGATACCTGGGGTGTCCCCTGCCCCCTCAGTGATCCTTTCCTGTTCCCTCCCATGACTCCCCCAAGTTGGGGAAAGGAGGGGTAACCTACAAGGAACACAGCTCAGGTTTTATCACCAACTGGGGATAGACAATCTCAATGTTGAACCTCACTGAAGGAAAGGGACAAGGTACCCCTGCTGAGGTATATGGGCTGCCATCTCAGGCTGTCTTGAGACCTGGGCCCCCTCTGCTACTCCCAGGGAATGGGCTCCTGACACAGCGGTCTGCCACCACAGCCTCAAGAGGGTGTCAACACCAGCAAATGCTGTATTTGCAGCATGTCCAAGCTGATCCTTCTCCCCTGCCTCTACCTGGCCACCGGCAGGGAGCAGAGCCAGTGGTCACAGCAGCAGCACCCTAGGCATGGTGAAAGCCTGGGGACAAGCCATGTGTCATTTTTAATTTGGCCTTCCTGGAAGACTCAAGATGTGTCTCTTCATTCTCTCTCAGTATTTGTTTACTTTTTTTTTTTTAATCTCAGAGAGAGGTGTGTTTAGTGGGCACAAGCTGTAATATTCAGCAAAACTTTGTCAACTGCCATTGTTCTCAAGTCTGTTAGTTGCATAAGCTCAATAAAAAGTTAGCCTGGGCATTAAAAAAAGCTATAGGACATTTCAGTGATTAACAGCAAATTTGAATATCACGATATATTGGATTACTGTTATTTTTCTTAGGTTTGATAGTCGTATCATGACTGTGCAGGAAAACAGCCTTAATCCTAGAAGATAATTTATGTCAAAGAATTTGGGATGGGAAGGGCCATGATATCTGCAACTTACCTTCACATGGTTCTTTTTTCACATGAAAAAATATGTATAAATATAGATGTATCGATGACATAGACATGTGGGTATAATGCAGATACATGTCTACAAGTAGATACAGAGTTTATAGGGATAAAAGTTAACATGACTAGATGTTCATCAGCAAATACAGGCAAAAGTCATTCATTGTGCTGTTCTCACAACTTTTCTGTTGGTTTGAAATTTTTCGAAGTAACAAGTTGAGGTGTAACTTTTAAAAATCTTATTGAAGTTTCCAAAAGTTAGTTCACATGCCACCTCCTTGAAGAGGCTCTTCAAGATACATTTTGGGAGAAATGACTCCCTTTTCTGCATTTCCAAGGCACTTTACTTATGTTCAAGATTCAATTGACTGAGTAAAAAAATCATGGGCCCCTGGTTCAAGCCCATAAATCTTGGCATCCTCTCGCAGACACATCTCTCAGTTCATGCTCACTTGTTCATCCCACAAGGCCTAGAACAGGATCAGTGCTTAAGGAAGGCAGACACTGGGCAGGAAATATCCAGACCTCAGGAGTAGCAGAAAGGCCTAGGGTGAGCTTACCACACTTGTGCCAGGGAGCTATGGGGGGAGCTGTCATGAGGAGGACCAGCCCCAAAGCAGAGCTCATGTTCAACACGGCCACTATGGAGGCACTTTCAACCTGGGGCAAGGTCCACACTTCCCAGAATTCTCTAAACCCCTCTTTGCTTTTCCCTAATGTCCTACACTTGCATAGGCTGAGCAATCACTCCACCTGCCCTTTCAGACCAAGGGGCCATGTTTGAGCAGGCACACAGGCATGTGGGGAAGTGTGTGCTGACACAGGTTCACTCACTCTATCCACAAATTTCCCACCCTGAATATGAACACGAAAGCAGGACCATGACTCTAACTCCTCCTTCTTCACTGCACACACGATCCTGCACATATTTGGCATCCTGCAAGGATCCTGCATTTCTGACGCCACCGTGCTGAGTGACAGGAAAGTCCATTACCCCCATATGTCAATGGTTCCTCTCTGGATCATTGACAAGGACAGCTATGGAGACATTTGGGGGATACTATGGATACCCAGAAAAGCCCAGCAGACACTGGAGCTTCTAGGTGAGAACCCAGGTGTGGCAAAAGGCAGAAGGAGCAGTTGCTATCTAAGGACATAACTTCACTGGAAACAAGGAGGGGAGCAGAGGATAGCCCAGAGTCAGGCTCTGCAGCAGGTGGTGGCTTCTTATCATCAGGGGACAATCGATGAAGTTGGCCAGCATGGCAGCTGTGTCATCCTGCTCCTTTTAGGCATGAAGATACAAGATTCAGAATAGTCACACACACACACACACACACACACACACACACACACACACACACACACACGAATGATTCAGGATGGGGCAAACCTCTCTCCTTAGATAAGTGGCTGCAACCCCTTCCCCTACTTCTCACATCAGCCCCACCTTCTCACCCAAGGAGCCTTCCCTGCCTGGCCGGCTCACCTTTTCCTGGAGAGCTTCGGCCTCTGTCTCTGTCTCTATCTTTTCTTCTGTAGATGTCTCTGTTGGGGGCTGCACCTTGTCATCCCCATCCTCAGTCCCTTCTTCCAGCAGAGTTGGGAAAGCAGAGGGCTCTTCTTCAACCAGCTCCTGGGGAGGTGGGCCTGCTGTGGGGCTGCCCCCGTCCCTCTCCACCTCCCCCTGGGAGGGGAGCACTTCAGGGGCATGGGTGAGAGCTGCGTCCTCCACTTCTGACAGCAGCCCAGGTTCTGATTCTGGCTTAGGCTGCATCTCTGGGGGAGACTCAGGGGGAGGCAGAGCTGGAGGCAGGGTTGGGGGTGGAGGGCCACCTTCCTCTCCCTCCTGTTGGTGGCCCAGAACGGGCTACAGGGGGTGATGTGACACCTGAGGGTGGTGGAGGTGGCGAGGGGGAAGCCCCTTGGGCACAATCACCATGCTGTCCTCAGAGTCACTTTCCAGGGAGGTCTCCACCTCAGATGGTTCCTCCTTATCATAGTGGACAAAGGCTGGTCTGGGCATTCTCCCCCCAAAGTTTCATCTGGTGGTATAGTAGGAGGGGGAATCCAACAAGGGGCAAGGATGGGTCTTCATCTGAGATTGCCTGGGGGTTCTCAGGGCCAGGAAGAAGTTGGGGAGGGACAGACACTAGGCCTGGGACAGAAAAGCCTAGGTAGTTGTCTGTGGTGGGAGGTCCAGGAGTACCAAGGGCACAGGGCCTACTGAGGGCATGGGGCCTTCTGAGAGCAAGGGGCCCAGAGGATGGGAGGGTGGGGTGCTGAAGGGCAATGGGGCCTCAGGAGAGGGTACTGGAGCAGGTGTGGGGCAGGTGGGGCCCATGGACAGCAGGGGAGGAACCTGTGGGTGGGTGAGAGCAGCACAGGCCACCAGTGCTTCTGAGCAGAGAGAGGAGATCTGAGGGAGGAAGAAAGGGTAGGGTGAGCACCGGAAATACTGGCTCTCAGAAACAAGAGACCCCAGGAACCACAGAGGGGCTGAGGGGTCGCAGTTACCTCAAGACCATCTTACCACTGGCTAAGGGAGAAGGCTGGCAGGGCACAGGCAGGAGGAGGCAACCTATGAGCGAGAACATGCAGTGTTTGATTTTCTGTTCTTGTGTCAGTTTGCTGAGAATGATGGTTTCCAGTTTCATCCATGACACAGGTTACTATTAGAAGAATATATTCATTTAACTAGAGACTTCAAAAGCAATACAGAAAGTTCCATGGATATAAAAACCTTAACCATACAGACACACACACACACACACACACACACACACACACACACACACACACATATACATACATACATATATATGCACAGTCTTGCTCTGTCACCAGGCTGGAGTGCAGTGGGATAACCTCAGCTCACTGCAACCTTCGCTTCCTGGGTTCAAGCAATTCTCCTGCCTCAGCCTCCCGAGTAGCTGGGACTACAGGCACACTCCACAACACCCAGCTACCAGCTAATTTTTGTATTTTTAGTAGAGATGGGGTTTCACCATGTTGGCCAGGATGGTCTCAATCTCTTGACCTCGTGATCCACCAACCTCAGCCTCCCAAAGTGCTGGGATTACAGGCATGAACCACCACACCTGGCAAAACCTTAACCCTTTTAAAGCTCAGTTTTACTAAGTAATCAAAAAGGGTACTTGAATTTCATCGGACAAAGCAGGAGTATGTACAGCTTATGGGTGTACACACATGATGACATTGGTCATATCTTCATTGGCCACATGATTACACATTAGAATAGCATCTTTAGTGACCATAAAGCCAGTGTTATAGAAGGTATAGGAAGGAGGTACTCTTGGACTTGAGAGAAGAACAGAGATTGATCCAAGATGGCCGACCACTAACAGCTCAGGATTGTAGCTCCCAGTGAAAGCTCAGAGAACGAGACGACGCCACATCTTTAGACGAATTTTCGTCACTCACCGATTAGCCAATTCCCAGTGGAGGAGCCCCACGGGTTGCCAGCGCGACTCTTGTGGCTGCCGCAGCGGTTTTGCTGGCGTCTCGGCGCAGCTGCTCTTCACGCAGAGCCAACGGGACCGCTTCCCCTACTGACCGGAGTTTGGAGCTCTGGGAAGTCAGAGCCGCTTGCTGCGGACTCAAGAGGGAAGCCAGACCAGAGATTCCCGGGCAGAAGAGCACCATCAGTCTTATCACTGCTATTTAGGCTGCCACAGTGGGTGGCTCGGATCCCAGCACTGGGAATCAATAAGTCGGACGTCGACTCAGAAACCTAATTAGAAAGGCAGTTCATCTATAATGAAGGGAAAAAAGCAGCCCAAGAAGGCCGAGTATACTCAAAATCAGAACCCATCAGCAACGGAACAAGCCCTGATGGAAAAGGACTCATCAGCAACCGAACAAGCCCTGATGGAAAAGGACTCATCAGTAACGGAACAAGCCCTGATGGAAAAGGACTGTGTTCCATTATCTGAAGGAGGCTTTAAAAGGTGGATGATAAGAAACTTCTGGGAGTTAAAGAAACTTGTTCTAACCCAATGTAAAGAAACTAAGAACTTGGAAAAAAGGTTAGATGAAATGTTGAAAAGAATAGACAATATAGAGAGGAATACAAATGAACTTATGGAGTTGAAAAATACAACACGAGAACTTAGTGAAATATGTACAAGCTTAAACAGCTGAATGGATCAAGCAGAAGAAAGGGTATCAGAGGTCGAAGACCAACTTAATGAAACAAAATGACAAGACAAGAATAGAGAAAAAAGGATAAAAAGGAATGAGCAAAGTCTGCAAGCAATATGGGACTATGTGAAAAGACCTAATATACGCTTGATTGGTGTACCTGAATGTGACGGAGAGAATGAATTCAAGCTGGAAAATACTCTCCAGGACATTATCCAGGAAAATTTTCCTAGTTTAGCAAGGCGGGACACCATTCAACCCCAGGCAATACAGAGAACACCACAAAGATATTCCTCAAGAAGACCAACCCCAAGGCACATAATCGTTAGATTCACCAAGATCGAAACGAAGGAGAAAATATTAAGGGCAGCCAGAGAGAAAGATCAAGTTACCCATAAAGGTAAGCCTATTAGGCTTACAGCAGATCTCTCAACGGAAACCCTACAAGCTAGAAGAGAGTGGGGGCCAATATTCAATATACTTAATCAACAGAACTTTCAGCCCAGAATTTCATATCCTGCCAATTTAAGCTTTACATTTGAAGGAAAAATAAAATCTTTTAGGAACAAGCAAGTACTCAGAGATTTTGTTACCACCAGGCCTGCTTTACAAGAACTTCTAAAAGAAGCATTATACACAGAAAGGAACAACCAGTATGACCCTTTCTAAAAATACACCAAAAAGTAAAGAACATTAACATAAAGAAGAATTTTTATCAACAAAAGGAAAAAATAGCCAGTTAGTATCAAATGGCAGCAACCCTAAATTTAAATCGACCAAATCTCCCAATCAAAAGATACAGACAAAATCCAACGGTATATCCAAAGATATACATAGACTCAAAATAAAGGGTTGGAAAAAAAAAACGTACCAACCAAATGGAGAGCAAAAATAAATAAATAAAAAGCAGGAGTTGCAATTTTCACATTTGACAAAATAGATTTCAAAGCTATAAGGATACAAGGGTAAAAGGATTAATGTAATAATAAGAGATCTTAACACCCAGATACATAAGACCCATAATGAGATTTAGATTCAACGAGACAGAAAACTGATAACGATATCTGGGACTGGAACTAAGATCCAGAACAAATAAACTCAATAGAGCTCTCCATTTTAAACACACAAAATATACATTATCCACAAAATCTGACGATATATCTAAAGATATACAAAGACTCAAAACAAGGGGATGGAAAAAAACTCACCAACCAAATGGAGAGCAAAAATAAATAAATAAAAAGCAGGAGTTGCAATTCTCACACTTAATAAAATAGATTTCAAAGCTACAAGGATGCAAGGGTAAAAGGATTAATGCAACAATAAGAGATCTTAACACCCAGATACATAAGACACATAATGAGATTTAGATTCAATGAGACAACAAATTGATAACGATATCCAGGACTTGAACTCAGAGCCAGAACAAATAAACACAATAGAGGTCTCCATTTAAAAAAAAAAAAAAGAAAAAGAAAACAAATGACAGAAGTCGCTCCAATCACTCTGAGACAAATAAACCCTCATTTATTCTTAGTGCATATGCCGGTTATCAGACTAACCTTAATCTGGCACCTGAAACGAAAGGTACTTCATATAAAAATAACCAAATGCACTGAGGCCCAAGGCCCATTCATTAACCTTAGTTACATATTAGCCCTTGAAATATAATTGATACTAATTCCTAATATGCTTAATAGAGAGAACCAAATTTATTAAAAAAAAAAAAAGAGAAGAACATTGTGTAGAAATGTCATTGATTGTGTTAAAATTATTCTCCATGGGCCAGAGAACACACAGCATGGCCTTTAGAATGAGATGGACTTTGATTGGATGCAAGGTCTCAACACTTACCAGCTGAGTCACATTGGACAAAGTGCTTCATCATTCTGAGACTCAGTTTTTTGTTTGTTTGTTTTTTGAGATGGAGTTTTGCTTTTGCTGCCCAGGCTAAAGTGCAATGGCATGATCTCAGCTCACTGCAACTTCCGCCTCCCAGGTATGAGTGATTCTCCTGCCTCAGCTTCTTGAGTAGCTGGATTTACAGTGATGTGCCACCATGCTTGGGCAATTTTGTATTTTTCATAGAGACAGGGTTTCTCCTTGTTAGTCAGGCTGGTCTCTAACTCCTGACCTCAGGTGATCCACCCACCTTAGCCTCCCAAAGTGCTGAGATTACAGGCATGAACCACCATGCCCAGCCTAAGTAACATGTTTTTGTTTTTATTTATTTATTTATTATTGCATTTTAGGTTTGGGGGTACATGTGCAGAACATGCAAGACAGTTGCATAGGTACACACATGGCAGTGTGTTTTGCTTCCTTTCTACCCTTCACCCACATTTGGAATTTCTCCCGAGGCTATCCCTCCCCAGCTCCCCCCGCCGCTGGCCCTCCCATTTCCCCCCAATAGACCTCAGTGTTTAGTACTCCCCTCCCTGTGTCCATGTGTTCTCATTTTTCATCACCCACCTATGAGTGAGAATATGCGGTATTTCATTTTCTGTTCTTGTGTCAGTTTGCTGAGAATGATGTTCTCCAGATTCATCCATGTCCCTACAAACGACACGAACTCATCATTTCTGATTGCTGCATAATATTCCATGGTGTATATGTGCCACATTTTCCCAATCCAGTCTATCATCGATGGGCATTTGGGTTGATTCCAGGTCTTTGCTATTGTAAACAGCGCTGCAATGAACATTCGTGTGCGTGTGTCCTTATAGTAGAATGATTTATAGTCCTTTGGATATATACCCAGTAACGGGATTGCTGGGTCAAATGGAATTTGTATTTCTAAGGCCTTGAGGAATCACCACACTGTCTTCCACAATGGTTGAACTAATTTACACTCCCACCAACAGTGTAAAAGTGTTCCTTTTTCTCCACATCCTCTCCAGCATCCGTTGTCTCCAGATTTTTTAATGATCACCATTCTAACTGGCGTGAGATGGTATCTCAATGTAGTTTTGATTTGCATCTCTCTGATGACCAGTGACGATGAGCATTTTTTCATATGATTGTTGGCCTCATATATGTCTTCTTTTGTAAAGTGTCTATTCATATCCTTTGCCCATTTTTGAATGGGCTTGGTTGTTTTTTCCTGTAAATCTGTTTTAGTTCTTTGAAAATTCTGGATATCAGCCCTTTGTCAGATGGGTAAACTGCAAAA